TGTACATTAAAACAACGTAAGTATTACAGAGGATTTGCGTAGAGCCCAACTCGATACCTGGAAACCCCTGCTTAATTCAGAAATGTTTTTTGGTCTCTTAAAACCAGTGTGATCATGCGACACTCACTAAAATGCGTTATCCGTATCCTTTCTAGTGTATTGCTTATTATCTAGAACAAACGGAATGTCTGCCAGTCATATATATTCTATTCACCCTGAAACACTGTCAGGGGTTCCACAGTCTACTTCTACCGTTTCGAAAGTTATCAAAAGCCATATTGTGGGATGGAGCGGGACACAACTCTTGGAGCACTATGCGGCGATAAACTGAAAAACAAGTCGGGGAGATCAATTTATCCAGCTGCACCGAGAGTGCGCATCAACGTCATTATATGCCCAAAAAATATGTAGTGTGCGGTTGGCTATAGCATTAACTCAAGGCAACCAATTGGGACTAGTGAAACTGGCGAATGGGCTTGTATGCCGGAACGACCAAGAACATCAACACAGGAGTAGACAGGATGGATGACTGAACGCATTGGAAAGTGTGCACACGGACTACCTATAACTCGGACACGCAGCCGCCCATGTTTGGCCATTGCCATCTGCAAGCAATCGATGGTTCATCTAAACCCTTGAGTCTAACGGATAGAGTACCACTTTCTCCAACAACTTGATGTTGCAATATCTTAAACGATTTACATTGTTATTTACCTCGGATTTAGGCACCATTTTGAAGTAAAGCCTACCATGTATAACACTGTGTTGTAAAGTGGTACTGAGTTAATGGGATGCTGAAAAAATAAAACCAATAGACATCTGTTTAAATAATTGGACTGAGGTAAATCAAGTAACCTAGGGCTCAATCGTTCCACTCATCCTCCCGTACACCATCGTAAACAGCTGAAATAATTGTTTAAGGCATGAGATGGCACTAACTACCGGTACCATGGCGTTAAGGAATGCCCAAATCTCAAGAAAATTTTATTCTCAGCGGACTTTACTCATTTGTGAGAGCCAAATTAAATATTCCAAATTTCGACATTTTTGGACTTACCAGTAGGGCAGTCAATACACCTTTCCGAAGCGATTCCAAGCGAGTGTGATTCCATCATCCGC